CAGCAATTACTGAGTATCAATCAAAGCGGCGGCGTTTGCAATGCATTCGCGACAAGCGATGCGTGCGTCGGTGCGGCGTCGGGTTCCCAGCGTGGCGGCGATGGTGGTGGCATTGCGGCGGTCATGGCAGGAGCAGTGATGGCGGTGATGGGACGATGGCAGTGATGGAAGTGATGGAGGCAGTGGCGGTGGCGGCGGGTCTTTACAGGGACGAGCACCACCATGCAACGGCAGCGGCCCCGCCCAGTCATTGCCTCCATCCTGCCGCGCCGACCGCCGCCCACCGGATACCTGTGATTTAGTGGCCATGACGTCCCCCGGTCGCCGGCGCCGACCCCCGGCGCCCGCCGTGTGCAATAGACCACCAGCCCATTACCGAACCACAGCGGCCGCGCACAGCCCCCAGCAGTTTATGGAAAAGTGTGCCGTGCCGATCGGCGTGCAGCGCCGGCCGGCTGCCGGGCGGTGTCCATCAGAGTCCTATTGTGTCCATTAGTGGCGGCCCGAGAGCGCCGGCCGGCCGGGCGGGCCCGGCCCAGCCCGTGAGACGCCGCGCCGAGCCAGTCGGCCCGAACGCCGCCGAGCGCGAGCTGCTGGGTTTTCCCGGCGCGCCGCTGCCACCGCCGCGCGAAACGGGCCGCCCGCGACACCCAGCCCACTTTCCAGCCGGTGGCGACATGTGACAGCGTGGCAGGTGTCACGGTCATGACAGGTGACAGTCACGGCCGCGACAGGTGACATCTCCCGCTGGTCGCCACCTCAGGCCGCGACCGGCCTCCGGCTAGCATCCTAACCTCTCAGGTGGTGACAGCGCAAATAGTGTCGCGGCTGTTACGGTTGACGGTCCTCTCTGCCCGGCGCCTCAGACCGTGGCCGTTCGGCAGGCATCCCCTGGGGTCCGGCCGGCGCCGGCCGGGCCCCTCCCCGCCGCCGCACGGAGCCGGTGCTCTCGGCGGGCCGCCGCGTCCCGGCACGCCGCTGATAAATGCCCACCGACCATTCACAGACGTATTATTAATATCCCGTCAGTGTGCATCGGATAGAAATGTTGCAAAAAACCGCGGCGCGCAACAGCCCCGGCCGGGCGCCCTATAATTAGCGGTGCTTGTATAGATATGCGTAGATTTGTCACAGCGCAGACGGCGCGGCCACCTTTTCAGGCCGATAATAACGTACAATCGGCAGGAAGGGCAACGGCCGCGGGCGCACCGGCCGACTCGTTTGTAACTGGCGGCGAGCTCGGCCGGCCGGAGGGACGGGGCGCGGCGCCCGGCCGCCGGCACTGACCGAGGCGACACGGGAGCGGCATCCCAGACGACCGGACACCGGGCGCCTCCTAAATCACACGGCCGACGGCCCAGTGCAGCGGCCTGATTGCACCATACGCGCCGGCCGGCGGTCCCCATTCAGACCCGCCCGGCGACCCCCGACTCCTCACCCGCCGTCCTTGGCTGCATGAGAACCGACGAATCACCGCCCGCACAATCTGTCACTCCAGAGTGCATAACGCGACACTAGTCAACTTGGTTACAAGACCACTAATACCGTGCACCAAAACACCGGAACCGTGCGACTATCGGAAACGGCGTGCGAGCAGCGCCATCAGCGTGATTTCATAATGACAGGCCGCGGGCTGCCGGCGCGCCGCTGTATGAAGATACACAGCGCCGGCTCCCATCGGCCGCGCCCGACCGACCGCTGCTGCACGGCCACACCCCTGCCACAGCGCGGCGGCTGGGCGAGCGCGCCGGCCTGGTGTTAGCGGCCGACGCTCCGCCGCAGTCTCCGACAGCGTGTGCGCCCTGAGACTGACTGCGTCCACTGCCCTGGCGCTGAAGGCGGCGGTTCGGCCCTGGAGACAGCGAGACAGTCAGACTCCGCAGCTATCGACACGAATGGCAAACTATGTGGAGAGCTGCCTCTGAGAGCGTCAGGTGTTGGCTGAAAGGGTAAAAGAAGCCCGGTACGTGACATGCCGTGCCGGTACTCAGGCTGGACAGCGCCACAGCCGGGAAGTCCGCAAGGAGAGGCCCACGACTGTTCACAGCGGAGAGCTGTCAGCCCACCCAGTCAGCCTGCAGAGTGCTGGATACTGGGTGCGGAAACCTTTAAGACTGCCTCTTTGAGCCGGTAGAGGACAAGACAAATGGCATGTCGAGGGTGAGTTCAATGGAATAGGACCCAGCCAATGCCACTAATGAAGAACGGTTTACGTGACCGCCATTTGTTCAGGACTATGAAGGTCAGCATGAGACTTACTACGGAGATCGACTGATAAAGACAGGATGCGGGGATCCCAATGGATTGAAGATCTGATAGCCGGACTTTGGACTGTGGTGGTCTGCCGAGACGGACACATGGCTGAAATGGATCCCTGCGGTCAGTGTGCCGAGGACTGCGACCGTTACGCAACGGCGTGGCGCTCAAACAGCGCGTCGCGGCACCGCGCCTTTCCTGCGACATCTCGCGTCTTTCACTTTTCAATGTCGCTCACGGGCGACGAGCAGCGTTTATGCAAATGCCCGGCCGGCATAAGGGCAAACAGTGGCTGCGAGTCAACAGAGGCGGCGGGCCGAGTCAACACTCGGCGGCGCAGCTCGTGACCGGCCGGCCGGCCCGGCCGCCCGATCAGCATGCAAATACGCCGGCTCCACGGGCGGACACGTCCCGGGCGGCTGACGCCACGGCGCCGGCCCACGCCGCGGAGACACCGGCGGCGTCCGATCGGGCACCGAGTCAGCCGAAACGGAGTCAGAGTCAGCGCCGAGTCAGCGGAGCTACCGCTGATCGGTGTCACGACCGCGATCAGCAGACTGACAGAGGGTGGCGGGGCTAGACCGGCACCCACGCTGTCTACCGCCACAGTCAGGGAACGTGACCATCACCCTGTCACCGAACGGGCGACAATCCCTGGCTGTGAGAGCCTTCACGAACTCCACACTGACCGCCGAGGGAGGAAATACCACCGGGAAATACGCACGACATTCACAGAAACCGATGGGAGAATGGCACCTCACCCAACGTCAGCAATAAGAAGTACACCAACGGTGGCGCGGCGTTCAATTAGCATATTTCACACTTTCCCAGTTTACGGTCGGGACGCGCGGTTGTCGCGCCGCTCGGGGCCCACGGCGCCGCCGCAGTATGGACCGATTAGTGGTCGTAACGTGCCGCTAGTAGACAGTAACGAGGCGACCGCCCGGCACGCCCGCTTGTCGTAGGTAAGCGGCCGGCCGGCGCGGCGGCGCACTTCGCACACTCGACAGACGCACGGCCGACGCCCTCCCCACGCAGCGCAGCCACTAACGGATTCTAATTGGTCAAATAATAGCGCGGAGGCTGAAACATGAACAGATAAATTCAGCAGCACGGAGCGCCTCGTTTAATCCTGATAACCTGTGCTGCTCGCTCGGAAGACAGCGCAAGACGGGCGCCGGGAAATCCCGCCGGAGCGTTTCTATCGCATGTGAAGTACTGGCAGCCTTCCCACCGCTGACCACACCTCCTCACGGGCGCCCAGGTGCACTGGGAATGTCTTACCGTACTGAGGGACTGACCGGCCGTCACGGCACTCGTCGCCCGACCGTCGCCGACTTACCTCGGACACAGGTCGGGTCCTCTCGGGGTCGCCGCGGCGGTGACTTCAGCCGCAGCGGGCGGTAGACGGGCGCGACCACAGAGGTGTGCATGCCGAGGCGAGGGCAAACATGCAGCCCAGCGTTACTTAGTTAGTGCCGCGGCGATGAGAAGAGACGGCGCAACGATAGATTGGCTTAGATAGATCACATGCTCGCGCGATTGAGTGCACCAGCCAGACCAGACTCGCCCGACCAGAGCAGACCAGCAGACCACGCCAGACCACACGGACAGACAGACTGGGGCAGACCGGACGGCAGTCTGCCGGGACACCGTGCAGGCCCGGCGACCGCCGCTGTTTGGCAGCCGGGGACTGATTGTTTGTGTCTTCACTGCCGGCGGCAGCGGCAGTGGCCAAACGGCGCCGCGGTACACTGAGCCGCTCCCAGCCCCGACTGAGCTGTCGACACTGCAGAGTGGGCTCCCAGGGGCAGCAGCGGCAATAGACCCCCTGTTACCCCAACCACCTCACTATCTCGCCCGGGGACTGCCGTCGGGGGCTGCCACCAGTAGACAGTGCACACGGCACACCGTCCACAGCGAGTCCCAGTGACACGGCAGTAGGCACTTCCTCCCCCTCAAGGGAGGGCGTGGCTGTGGCACAGAGGTGTTGTTACGCCGATCTCCCGACTGTTCCTACAGGACGGAGGGCTCGGCCCCTGCATAACGCCATCCGAGTCCGCAGGCGATTGCCAGACGAGCCTTAAACCGAACCAATGCAGTGCAGCGCGGCCACGGAGCCGGACAAAGAACCGACCGGCTTTCCCTGCCATGGACGACGGCCGTGTCTTTGTGCCGCATCATCCCGTGATCGGGTCCGGCGCACGTCTCTGCGACTCTCCCTGGCCAGCGATGCCAGTAATTACTCTCCGGGAGGCCGGCGCTCTGAAAGGCTTCCTGACCGCCCGGCGGGTGCTCCAGTCTGCCAGAGATGACACCCACTCTGCTCCCCTCGTCTCGGCGCTAATTTCTGCCCCGTCACCGAGCGGGATGACCCGCCGCCTGACTGGCTCCTCTCCTGGTCCCTCCCGTTTCCTGTTCTCCAGCCGCTCACCCGACTCCCTCCACTTCCCCACTGTTATCCATTCCCGGCCCCTTGCCCCGATTTTCCATCAGCTCGAACCTCCCATGCTGTTCCAAGTACACTCCCAGTTCCTATATTCTTCCAGGTCCCCCTACTTCTTCTATGATGTACGCTTTGACCCCGGAACCGCCACCATCTTTGGGTCCGGTCCGCCCCAGCCGGTCATACCGGTGGGTCTGTCGCCGGCTGTCTGGTCTGGCGGGCGGTCTGTCGCCGGCTGGTTGGTCTGGCGGGCGGTGTCTGGCCCACTCCCCGACGCCGCTCTGTCGGCAGAACTCACCTGAACCAGCTCTGGACGCCGCCGGACCGTCTCAATCATCTCATCGAGCAGCGCCAGCTCGGCGTCACCGGGCTCCTCGGACTCGGCCGAGCTGCCCTGACCCGAGTCGTCCCCGGACACGTGCCGCACCTGGCGACACAGGGCAGGTCAGGTCAGGTCAGGCCACGTTCGTTAGCTCAGTCCATATGTTAAGTCAACACTCACAACTAAAGCAGCTCGCAAGCCAACTTATCTCCAAGCCCAACCTAAAACTGTCTGGGTAAAACTGGGTCCATCTGACTACATTGCCGCACTGCCGCCTTGTCACCACAGAGAGCCTCCGCGCCTGCCCCCGTCCATTTCTCTGCAGCTCGGCCGTCGCTGGTCGCGCTCGGACACTCACGCTGCCGCCGCACCGGCCGGAACGTATTCCGTTCATTGATTCGCGGCCAGCGAATGGGCCGCGCAGTGATGGCCAGTAGCATTACAGGCAGAATAACAGGCAAGTCACCGGCGGCCGGCGAGCGCCAAGTCGGCTGTCGTCGGGTCGTGCCGGCGGGCAGGGAGGGACGGGTGTGAGACCCGGCCCGCTGCTGCCCACTGCATTGCTCCGCGACTGAGAGGAAGTAAACGGAAACGGAGCAAGGGGTGGCACCACCACTGAATCAGCCTAAGAACTGAGCCTTCCCGGTGCAGACTGCCGTCTCGGCGGGTGGAAGGAACGGAGCACCGTTCTCGGGCGTCCCAGGTAGCCCGTACCCGGATCTGGGACTATCTCACCTTCTCTGGTACGTCGCTGATCTCACTGGCTGGCCGCCGGTCCGCCGACAGGGACGCTGAGCCGTCCCCTTCCTCCTCCTCCCCTTCCTCCGAACGGGAAAACAGTTCTCCTGCGAACAGCAAAGGGCCATGTTACTAGCGGTGCACACCTCCATACAATTACACACATCCACGCACACATGAAGCAACAGATAAGCTAGACAGGCGTGGACTGTTGCCAGGCGTCTTCCCAGTCATCTAGCGTGGGGCGCGGGGGCCAGTCATCGGGTTCCGTCGGTCCGGCGGGCCGGCAGGGCGGAAGGGTGGCACGCGCCGCCACCGGAGGCCCGCCACTGACCGGCCAGTCATCGTCGGGCCACCGTACACGCCGCGCCCGCCGGCCGCTCGTTCTGTTAATTCATCTGCACCCCTCAAAACGCCGTATCACGGGCGTAGTAAACAAAACCACGTCGCCACGAAATATGAGACACGGTAAGGTCAAGGCAGGCCGGCGGTGAGTCGGAGGATGGCGGCCGTTTCGCCGGTCATGCCGCTGGCGGCCGGTGCTGTACGGGCCGGCCGGACGAGGGAACGTGCGCCGTAATGACACGCCGTAACACCGCGAGGAGGCCGCATGGGGAGCGTGGTGGCATACATTCATGACAGCTACAAGCTGTATACGAGAGAACTGACACGCAGAACGGCGTAACACGCGTGGGGATGACACATTTCCACCGCCCACCCAGGCAGGTCGGAAGCGGGACGGGGCGGGGCGACATAATGCACGTGTAACCCGTACACAGGTGTATCGGCGGAGCGCCGAGTGAATGCCGTCGCTCAGCGCCGCGCCACGGACGGCCGCCCGCAGCCGACAGCTCGTTCGGCGAAGACGAGCCGAGCCGGGCCACTGTCGCTAACGACACGAGGCGGCACGGCAGACCATAAGCCGGTGGCGGGTACAAAAACGAGGCCCCGGCGCGGCCCACATCTGGCCGCGGGGACGGCGAGCCGCCGTCGGCTGCAGCGCTCCACGGCGGCCACAGGTGCGACCCACAGCGGCCGGGCGGAGCGCGCCGGCGACCGGCCCCCATCGGCACTGCAGACCGCCGAACAGGCCGGCGGCTCAGATTGTGTGCCGGCAGACACAGCCGGCGCCGCCCGCGTACAGGTGCGGCAAGAGCGCCGCACAGATGCACTACAATGGGCGAGGACTGTCACCGCGCGACCGGCCTATTGTCTCCTAGTAATGAGTCAGAACAGCGATAAAACACGCACCAAAGAAACACGGCGGCAAATAATGTAAAAAGCACAACTGTTGACGGGGATGCTACACCTATACGCGTCATTAACTTATCAAACACGACAGAACATCAGCTGATTCAATCAGACATGTTCTCCGTTGTTGTACAAGAACAGTTATGAACTTCTCAATCATCACCACGTATCATCTTCACCCACATCTTGCTCGTATCAGCCCAAGTGCCGGTCAGAAGACAAATGGCAAATGATGCGAGACTCTAGGCAACGGACAAATACTGTCAACGCCGTGCGTCCTACACATACATGTGATCGATAAAAACGGCTTCAAAGTTTCATAAAGGCACTCTAATTAAAGTAACTGATCTAAGCTACATTCCAAACATAATAAAAAAATCACAATATCCTTCTGAGCCTGGCAGCGGGAATAGCCTCACGAAAGGATCGATTGTTTCGTCCAATGGAGAACGCTCCAGAGTCACTCCCCTGCTCTGTTGCAACCCTCTGCTCTGGATACCGGACTCCACCCGGCGGCAGCTGGTCCGACCACCTCCAGCGCGGCTGGCCAGGACCTCCTCGCCCCCTACTTCCCCTTCCACCCGGGCGGCGTCACCTGGCCACCTGAGCAGCCGCCATGGCCGGGAAGTGGCGGTGAGGTCGAGTGGCGCCGGCGGCCAGGGTCGCCGCCGCGGCGCCCACTCCAGGCCGACACTCGAGTGGCCGGAACGGGGCCGGCCCGGTGGCCGGCGGCGGCGCGGCCGGTCACGACGCCGGCGCGGCTAGCGGTGCGGCCCGATTGCAGCGGCGCCGGCTGACGGCGCTGCATTGTCCGCCCGTCACCGGGCCAGAAACCAATCTGCCGCGGCGCGGCCGTGCGCAGCCGGAGGCGCCGCGCCGCTGCCGCCCCGACCTCCCGGGGAGAAACGCTCGCCAAAGATGGCGATAGAACACTGGCCGGCGTTCAGCGGTTGGTGCAGAGTGGAGCACGGAGCACTCGCCTCGCCTTACTCAACAGTGTTCCACTGAAATGCAACAAGTCTGTGATTCATACAGCTGCGCTCGAACGTTCTCCAGCCTCAGCACGAGTCAGCTGCCGGGGTGAAACCGTCACCACTAGAACGGAACAACTAATCGCATTCCTGTCAGTGTCGCATTCAGCGGCGCGGCTCCAATCGGGGCGAGTTGGAGGGCGGCGCGCCGCGTCGGCCGCGGACGGCAGCTGGCTGACAGCAGCGCCGGCCGCCGGCCGCCGATTGCAGCCAATCTGCGTGCCGCCGCGGCCGGCACCACAATCAGCCGGCCAGGGGCGGCGCTCGTTACCGACCGACGCGCCGGCATGTGGACAGATAATATCTGTCAGCGGACCGGCGAGTGGCTTCATTGGCGGCCCGGACAGGTCAGGTCACCGCCCAGCCGGCCGGCCGGTCGGTCCGCTCTCCTCTCCGGCCGGCCAAACATGGCTCCCGGCCGCCGGCACCGCCCCACTAACGGACCTAGCTCAGTACAACGAGTCCCAGAGACGTCTCAAACCATCACCGCGCACCCTTAGCCACACGGCTCACGAGCTGAAGGCGCACGAACACCTCCGCACTCCGCAGTCTACCTGAGCGGGGGCGGAGCATGCGGAGACAGCGCCTCTCGACCTCCAGCGCCACCAAGGACTCTTTTTGTGCAGCAGGATGGCGGCTAATCACCTCAGGCGCCAGCTTCACTCGAGTGTCGCCGGCGCCAGCGGACGTGTCGCCCCCCGAAACGCAGCTCTGCTTCCGCTCTGTGTTGGCGGCGGGTCCGCAGCTGTACCCGTCCCAGCGTCATCACCATCCGGCCGCTCCCAGCAGCAGCCAATGGCCGATTTTTGACAGCCCTTATAAATGACGTTTAATCTTCATCGGGGCACGGCTGAGCGGCGGCAGCCGGGCGGCGGACGGCCGGCCCGTTCTGTAATCGGGCGCTCTGTAGGGGACGCCGCCAGGGTCAGACGCGCCCGCCGCTCTTTGTGCCGACCTGCCGGAGCGCCGCGCACCGCCTAAGACAATGCGGCCCGGTAACAAATGGCCAGCAGCACGCCGAGAGCGCCGTGGGACGCCGCGCCGCCGCAGCAGCAGCACGGAACGAATGGAAGGCGAAGAGCGCCTCTCGCACGGGGAGAGGAAGCGGCGGCGATGGCGGCAGCATGGCTCGCTGGTCAGACACAGGGGGACGGGCGCCGCCCGCCGCGCGGCCGTCACAGCCGGCACCGGGTCGCTGTCGGACGGCCGCGGTCCGTCACAGAACACCTAGCAGCGGCAGCGGCCGGCGCCGCAGACAGTCCGTCTCTGTCCGGCAGACACAGAAGGCTGCTGCTGCGTCACCTGCACGAACTTAGAAACTCGTGATTCGCCACTTTGAAACAGAGAAACAAACGGCCGGCCGTTACCAGAATCTTATCGCCGTTATGAGGTGTCGGCAATATTTCCAGATCATATGGAAGAGCACGGCTGGCTAATGGAGAAAGCGGCATATGAGCTTTTTCCACTAAAACATCCAATAAGGAACCTCACGCATTCAATGCGCCACAAAGTACAGACCATAGGCGAATGTGAGTCAATTACAAACACAGTCATCAACAAGTGAACAACAAGCAAACGTTCCCCACCGTCGGACAAAACTGTGCCCAGCCATCGACACCGCAGCAAACGGCGACTCCGCTACTCGGAGTTAGGAGCCCCACCTATGCATCTGAGAGTGAGCTAAGTCAGTCGCAGCGCGTTCACGGGAATACCGCTACAGGCAGCCCTCCACTCCAACCGTCCATGTCCCCGGTCACCAGATGGGCCGAGCAGACTGGCAGCGTGACAGGTCAAATCGGAGAGATCCCTGGCAGCGGGATAAACATCTCCAAATACCCTTCAGCGGTCACGCTGGGGTAATCATCCACAGAGTCAACAGACCACCGGCCCACAGAGACACATACAAAGAGACGAGTGGCCGCGGGCGGGTCACGTTGGAACCACGGGTCTCTGGAACCATCTGCTGAGCTCAGGCATCGCTCGGATCACAACAAGGAAGCGCTAAATAAGGTGGTCTGAACTGGAGAGGGTGGTTTGAGCTAGAGAGCGGACCAAGACCTGGGGAGCGGCCCAGGGGACTGGTCCCGGAACCACGCAGTCACGCCGTGAAACCCCCGCGGCCGTCCCGCCGGGTGGGTGCGTGGACCGCGGTCTGCAGCGGCGCGGTGACCGACCGTCTGATGTCCGGCGTCTCCGGCCGCCAGCCGCTCGTCTAATGGTGTCTCCAGTGTAATTGGAGCGGCGGGGGTCCGGCGCGCGGTGCCCGGGGCACAGGCCGACCCAGGTCGACCCAGGGGTCCGAGCGGCCAGCACGGCACACACAGCGCGTTATTAATGATGAGCGGCGCGGCCGAGCCAGAGCGCACTGCCGCCGCGCAGCCCGCCAATGCACCTTTAGTTATGATAAATGACAACCGAGCGGCCGACGGAGAGCCAAAGAAATGCCTATTTGAACAGAATTCACCACGGAGTGTTGGATAAACGGCGCGATTACTAAACAAACCGGTGTGACTCAGCCGGTCTAGCTAAAGGCGGCGTGGGCAGGGGCGTCCGCGCGGCCAAAGCAGTGATTAGATTAATTTGCCACACCACTCGGACGTCGCCAGTCGCGCTCACAGAGCCCCAGCGGACGCTGCAAAGACCAAAACGCACCAGTCACGCTGATCATAAATCAGTGGCTAGCAGGCAGGCGGTCGGCCGGACGGACAGACGGACTGGGTCCGGCCGGCCGGCCGGGAAATTCCGCCACCAGCGCCGCCGCGTCGACGGCCGGCACTGCCCATCAGCGGCCGTCGACGGCCCCTTCCAGGCCATGTCGGCAAACACGGTGTTGACAGAGCCGACTGCGGCCACCAGCGGCCGACCAGGCGGCTGTTTGAACATCATCAGCATGCGCCGCCGGCCATGATCGCGGCGGGCGGCCGAATTCAAATCCTCCTCCCGAATGTAAAGAGCGCCGCGCCTGAAGAACAACGGTCTCAGGGTCAGCGACGACAGCTCCGGGCGGCACTCCCAGCGGCGCCGTTTGCGCTGGACATTTTATACCGAAGGTCGGCATCACAGAGTGAGCAAACAGAGTCGGACCTGATCACCCCACTGGCTCTAAGGACAAACACCAGTCTGATGGGGAAACTCCCCTGCGTTACAGCGCTTCGACCACACGCCAGTCTCACGGCGGCACTGACTTCACCATCAGTGTTTCTGGATCAAATCACCAATGCTTTCCTCAGTCTGCATACCCGCTTCAACATTACATGTCGTGAGAACTGTCCAGCAGCAACAACATACTAAGTCAGCATGAGCCATGAATGCGAGCCCCCCCCCCCCCCAAAAGGAGACACTGGAGTTGGTCCCAACCCGACACGGCAGTGTAGCGGCCGCCCTGAGACCCTTCCTTCTTCTGGAAGCGCAGACTACCAGCAGTCCGCCGATCGTCTGTCAGTCCTCAGCCAGCAGAGTCGGTCACTGTGCCACAATGGTCACTGTGCTGGTCACTCCACAGCGCTGGTCACTGCGCCGCGCTGGTCACTGTGACAGTGCCGGCTGGGTATGACTGGCCAGACGGCCCACCCTACCCAGTCAGCGTGATCCGAGCACTGCTGGGGGTCGGACATGACGGTCATCCTACTCACTACGCGTCCTTCGATACCACACCGCAGAGAGCAGTCACTGACGCATCGACATCCGCAAAGGGCAGGTGCGCAGATAGCAGTCACTGACTCACCAACAGTGGCAGAGGGCGGTGGTGACGGACAGCAGTGGTGTGCTGAGCCACTGGTGACTTGCCATACTTTGCTGGCTAGTGACGGACCACTGGTGAAGGGTCGCTGCTGACTGAGTGCTGGTGAACAGTGTTGGTAATAAGAGACACTGAGCACAGACGACATCGTTTCAGCTCGATGGTCTACCCGGCATTGCAAGATGTAGTGGGAAGACAGCTGGCTAAAGTTGGCGTGTCCTTCATTCCCTGCTCGGGAGTGGACGATCATACAGTGGACAGCTCGAACCATCAGCAGCCAGAATAGGAAACCGAGGGACGAGCGGACAAGGCGAATGGATGAGACACCCGTCCAGTCACCGGGCTGCTCCGTGCAGTGAGTCACAGAGGAGGGTAGCAGCGAGACAGCCGCGGCACCGGCAAGCGGAGACAACCGCCCAGTCACACTTCCAGGAACATACTTCACAATTCGAGAAGAGTCGGGAACAGCAGATGCCGGCGCCTCAGGAGCTCACTCTCACAGATCCTCCGAACACCCTCCGGGGGCCGGACTGGCAGACACCAGAGACCAGCCACTGGAGAGCCGGATCCACTCTCTCGGCGGCGGCGCCGGCTGCAACCGGGCGCCGTCCGACCGCCCCTGGGAGAGTCGCCACGGGCACCTGGACAAGATGGCGGCGGCCAGCGCGACCGGCGGGACGCCGCACCGCCCCGCCCCGGCACCGTATAATCACAGACGCCCAGACGCGCGCTTCTTGTACGATTTTTTGTCATTATTCCATTATTTGGAATGACTTTTTATTTGGAACAAAGCGGACGTCTCGGGGCCGATGGAGGATCAGGAGGGGCGGCGGCGAGCAGGGGGCGCCGCCGGGCGGGGACGGGGGCGGCGGGCCCTCCGCCGGCGTCCTGACATGTCACGGGTCCTGCAGCCACGACAGTGCAGGAGACGCCAGCTCGCCTCGCGGGCGGCGCGTGTTGTCGCTCGCAGCGGCGTGGATCAGCATTAGCCACGCGGTATCATTAATCAGGGGCGGCACAGATGAAGCGCCGCCGCCGCCGCGGCCGCCGGCTGGCCGACTGATACCCATCAGAGGAGGAGGCGGCCAGCACGCCGGCACAAACACGGCGCAGACACCGAGCGGCGCAGGCGGCGCGTCACGACCGGGAGCGGCCGGCGGCGCGCCCGGGGCCCCGTCACGACCGGCCAGCTCAGCGCCGCCGGCTGCCGGACCGGCCACACCTAGCGGCAGGACTCTGTGTTCACATCGCCACCAGCGGCGGGGCACGAGCCGCGCCCAGCCGCTACACCAAACGGACATGACGCCCGACAGGCCCCTCGGGGAGGTAACGAGCAGTCAGGGGCACCGCCGCCGCCGACACGGTATTTGCCTTGGCATCCGTGCCGCCTCAGAGCAGTGGCAATCCCGGATCAAACGGGTTCAAACCAAACGCATAGCTGACAAACCAAACGCAAAGTACGGCCAGCGCAGATAATCTCCCCTGAGCTGGACATATGAACGTCCCGAGCGTTCGACAGACCCCTGGACAACTAGAGGTAAGAAAATAACAAAGAGAGCCGGGAGAGTCAGACAGTTGCCAGCGCTGGCTGCCTGCACTCCGCCGCCGGGCTCCCAGCGCCCGGCCGAGCTCGCCGTGCCACCGCTCGCCGGTAATTGCACGCCAGCCGTCCGTGCAGCGGTGGCATCACGAGTCGCGCCTGCAGTGGCCGCCGGCGCCGCACCAGATGGAACGCACCGCGACGCCGCCGCCGCCATCACAGCGCCCGGCCAGCCTCTATCTATTAACGGCGCGCATAAAAACCTTTCAGGCCGGAGCCTTTGTTAGGTACACGGGACCCCCGGCCAGAGCACGGTGATTAATGAATTCTCTATCTTACCTATTGATGCGATGGAAAGAATACAGGCAAATGACTAATGATTGGCGGCGGCAGAGCGGCCGGCGGCGCCGCGCTGCCAGCTGCGCATGCGCCGTGACCTCGGGCGGCCGGCGGTGTGCAGTCACCTGTCTCCGGGTCGGCGGTGGAGTCGATCCTGTGCCAGAGGTGGCGCAGAGCGGCGCGGTGCTCCTCCTCGGTGGCTCCGTCCTCGTCCTCTTCCTCGTCCTCCCAGTCGTCGACCGTGCGCCACCGCTGCTCCCGCTCCCGCTGCTCCTCCTCCTGCTCTGCCTCCAGCGCTGGCCAGTCATCTGAAACATACTGCGGACGGGAAACTGGTCAGAATGATCGGTACTGACCGGGTCCGCGAGTGGAACGGGGAAGCAAAAAACAGACATCAAGACAAAACAATAGTGATTAGAAACAAAGACACATTGTAAGAAAAAAGTAACTTCTATCGTTCTATCTCCCTCTTCCTCCACCTCCAGTAAAGAAATGCCTGATCACCGTTGGAGCATCACTGACAGGTCTACAGGCGTCTCAGACACCCATGACAGGGTTACCAGCTGAACTGGAAAAGGGTATTGTAACAAAGCGCACGACCGATGAGAACACGAGAGGTATGAAAGTCGAAATGGAAGCAGTTTTCAACGAACAAATGCCGGGCAGCGGCGGACGAATGTGACTGGGAAAAATTCAGCTGAGAATGCCAGCCAGAAGTCATCATTGGCGACCAATCTGAAAAGAAATCCTGAGCAGACATGATTAAAACCCATTATAGGAAACCGCGCAGACTCTTGTGAATACAGAAATCCACATAAATAAGCCTAAATAAGGTGTCATCAAGTCGTTTCCAGTTGGCATCGAAGTGTGAGAAGTGGAGCCGAGTGAGACTCGAGACGGGTCGAGGTCGGTGTGCAGTGACGGCGCACCTTATTGGGCCGGACAGGCGGCTGTGTGGGATCGGACGGCTCCCACAGCGGCGTGCGCTCAGAGCGGGCTGCTCGCTGACAGCGCGCTGACGTATCCTGTCGGCCGATTGGCCGGCGGCGGCCGGCGCCGATCCCGCAGCCAATCATGTCACCGTCCGGAGCGGCGCCTCATGGCGGCGGTCAGCGGCGCAACTGTCACCGACCGCTAACGCTGGCCGCCAGGAAAGTCCGCGCCGGCAGCCCGGAGATAGCCGCCCCACAGCTCCCTCGAGAGGGGCGGGTCGCAGCGGTCACCCAAACGCGCCGCCCACGGCCGGTCACAGTTCAGTCGCATCATCAGCGGCAAGGGCCGGCCGGGAGGTGGCCAGTCACGTCGCGACGCGATGGTATCGGCGCGGCGCGGACCGTACCGGCCCGGCCCGGTCATTAGTGAGACCGGCGCTGACAAATCACGGCGGTACACGGCGCCCACCGCCGCCCACCGCCACCGCCCGCCGCCGACGGCACCCTGGACCAGCTGTGAAACCGTGTCAGCAAATACACCACCCCGACTGCACGACCGTATAGGCATCCTGAACGAACACGGCACACCACCCCGAAACGCCCACACATGTCGGCCAGCTGTGGCCGCAGAGCATTGTAACTCTATTAGCGTTGCGATAACACTCCATCTCTAAGACAAACAGCATCTGATGGCATAGGATTATCATCATGAGCTCAGCACTTTGGTAGCCGCTCGCCGGGCTCGGAGAGCACTGGGCGGCGGTGCCGGACCGACTCCGGGTGCGTTACCTCCTGGGCCGGCTTGAGCGGCACCAGTGCGTCGTCGTCATCGTCGAGCGGTTCGGGCGAGCAGCACGAGCCGGCCGAGCCGTCCTCGAGTGACGGCGGCGCCGACGGGGGCGGCGACGCGCCCAGGACCATGTCCTGACGGAGGAGTACCTCGATGGCCTCGGCATCCTGGCGACACACAGCGACACGCACGGGTCAGAGCTCAGCAGGTAACCACGGGTGGGGTGTATGGTCGTTGGTCGATAATCAGTCCGGTACAACGAGGAGATGCGGTCAGAGCTCAGAACAGTATAGCGAGAGAATGCCTCCAAGTGTGATACGACACAGGGAACAGGCAAGGACTAGCTTACATCGCGACATGTACGAAATGCGAGCTGCGCTAAGATACGCGATGGATACGCGATGGATAAATATCTTTCTTTTGTCATCGAGAGGCCTGCGGGTAGAGAATTCAGTGGCTGGTAAGAATGCCTTTGTCAATAACTTTCTGCAAGCGTGCTCCAAATCACAGATACAACCAGGGGGGTTCGCTCCCGTGCCTTCAGCATTACGAAAAATGGCAACAACCCGTGAGCAGCATCAGCGCTCACGCACATGTTCAAGGAAAACAACGTGTAATGGACTGCTAACGACGGCCCTCTCCACCAATCAGCGTTCGGCATCTCGAGCGCTGATTGGCTGGTAGCAAACGCGTCATATGTGGGTCTCATTTTTTGCTATCAGTGAACGCGTTATTTAATACACAGTGGCCTATGGAGAATGGCACGCGGAATTGAAGGTCAGTGTTTTATTGCTTCTTACATGCGAAGGGGGGTATTTGAGTGGCATTTGACACCATTTTCGAAATCTACAGTGAATTTCTGATCGACTCATGTATATATCTTTATGAATTTGACAGTACTAGTGCTACATAGTCGGTGTTTTATGTTGGTGTTGTTTCTCTCGACCTTTGTCTTGGACTTATATCATATCTTTTCTCGAAAATGATTGCCATAACCAGGTCTAAACTGTATCTGTATAAAGGGAATATGTGTTGAATATGAGGAGAAAGTAGTAATGACCATTATGCCTATCAAACTGCCAGAAGGTGTGCTTGTAAGGTGATTGAAACTGCAGTACGGGTTGCAGATGTGGGTTTGACATTAGCATTGTTGCTGTAACCCCACTTGCTCTAATAAAATGGCAACATGGGGTTATATACACACTATTGCACAGCCTGGTATCAAGCTGGTTGATATGTGGAGGATAATGAAAGCATAAAAACTTTTCTTAAGTGAATAGGAGCGTTGCGTCTTCGGTCTTGTGACTTATGTCAAGTCATTTCAAATCAAATGATTGTGATTGTAACTTTCACTTCAATTATTATTGTGAGTTTTGACCTTTTTAATCATTAAGTTTTATGTGTACTAATTTCATATGCCTGTGTAATGTCTGTGCGGCTTGCGTGTCTTGAAACAAACCAATTTATTTTGTACCTTTTTGTACTTCAGCAAATGTATGTCAAAGGACAAAAATGTCATGTCTGTTATCATTGACACTACTACAGCTAACTTTGCCTGTATTCCTATCTTTCAGAGGCATTCAATTCAATCTGCTTTCCAGTGCAGTACCTAGGAGACTGCAACTGAAACTCGCACAAAGGCAATCAAGTGTCACTTCATAGTTCATCAGCCTACAGCAACAGCCCATCTGTAATCAAGATATGGATGAAGTGGCATAGAAGAACAACCAGTTCAAACATGAAAAGATTGTATTGTGTTTTGGACTTTTTCTTAGCATAACAGAACAGCACACTTGCTGCTTTTTATGTTTGCCCTGTGTGCAGTTTTGAATATTTTTAACAATGAAATGCTTTTGCCAGCTCTTCTCTTGACATATAAGCTTCAGGGGCGGCGGATTCGGGGGGGCAGAGGGGGCAGCTGCCCCCCCTGGCAAACTCGTGGGGGGGCAAAAGTATCTTTTTGCCCCCCCATAATTTGTGACATAAAACTTTGACAAGAATCCATATATTAATTTTGTTCGATCATCTGAAGGTGTTATCAGATGCCCATATACTATATCATACGTTGCCTTTCTTAAATGACAAGCGTTTGCGTTCAATAGAAGTTTCCCTTTCCTCAAACTCGTTTTAGAGGCAATATAAGCGTCAACGTGACGCAGCGGCAGCCCAGACCTTAAATGGGCGCTTTTAGGGGCGACGGATACGGGGCGGCAGAGGAAGCGTCGTCGACTCGTCACCTACGAAACTTTTGGAGGAGTGGCAAACGTATATTTTGCCCCTCCATAATTTGTGCCCTAAACATGGGGAAAATTTCCATAACCTAATATTGTACCTATTCGCCCATACAGTTGGTCTAACCGTCACTTTGGAATACATTAAATGCCAACGATTTCCGCTTTAAAGCAGTTTTTTTGTCTTTCCAGCTTCGATTTTGAGACATTCTAAGTGTGCAAGAGACGCAACTCCGACCTTCAGTGGTCGTTTACCGCTATTTTGTAAATTCCGAATCTCAGGCGAGCGGAGACGGAAGGGCTTGCCATTCGCTTGCGGGTAGTTAGGACTGATGAAATTTGTAAAAAAAAGTTGGAAAGTTTTTTGGGGGGGCACTGACCATTAGTGGGCCTCCCTCTCATTCCAAAACAGACGAATGGATCTCGTGATCGCTTTTCCTGAAGCCATCTGTAGACTAAACGTTGCGCGATCATGCGACAAAAAGAAGCCCTTCTCAATAGGCTTCAACCCTCCCTGGGTCACATCAAAGTTGTTAAGTCAATGGACGAGGTCATTCGGCATAATAACCCCACAATAGATCCAGCCATTTCATTTCATTTCGTTTATTTCATTTATTCACCATATCAGCCACGGGGCATGCCCATTTTTTTTTCTATAAATTTAGTCCGAACCTTTTGATAGGAAGGATTCACAAGGACAGAGCCAACGCTAAGCGAAGCTTGTTGCGGTGACCCTGCCCTCTACCCTCCGATCGCGCAATTCCAGTTCTATGGCAGAATTTAGAGTCCAAAGTTTAACGTGCGCACATAGCCGCGCACGGCCGGTCCCCTCACTGACTTCGCCTGGATACGGCCTTCCACCAACCGCAGCCATACCTGTCAGGAGGCCCATAAATGTCAAGCGCCCGTCACGCTTCGAACCCGGACTGTTATAACTTATAACCAAGGCTATAGAACTCCGTTATAACCGGGAACGCGTGCTCTCACCACGCGGAGTCCAACGCTCTACCAACTGAGCTACGGGACCGGCTTAAGTCATTTACGGCCAAAGTCACAGCACAATAAAAATAAGCCACAGCACAATAAAAATAGTGGCTGCAGTGGCTGCACTCATGTCGTTTGACATGTGAAACTGAAATTAAAGTCACGCCACCTGAGGCGCCCTGACTAGGTTGAATCTGGGTCGGATATGCGTCGTCTTTGCAGATATCACTGGCGGCTGATTCTCGAGTAAACAGACGTGGTGTCAAAATTTGATGTGATAATAGTCGACCTTACCGCAGTCTGCGTACCCTAATGCCTGAAACAGACTCTTTCCGCAGTCAGGAAATCGCATGCGCGAGCCTATTCAAATACATGGAAGCACGCTCGCATCAATCGCACGCACCTCCCGGATGCGATTGATGCGGGAAGAATTATACATAATTTATTTGAATAGGCTCTCGCATGCGATTTCCTGAACGCGGAAAGAGTCTGTTTCAGCCATAAGGCCCTAATGAAATAACGCCCACTCACAGCTTCTGGCTCCTCGTCCCAGTCCTCCGTTCCTTCGCCCTAGCCCGCCGCTCCCTTGCCTTAGCCCTCCGTTCCCTCACTCTAGCCCGACAAGTGTTTGGGCTTATTTAAGCCTCGCTGTAGGCTTGATGTATAAACCCGTCTCGGTGAGCTTAGTTTACGAACCACTTTCTTGGGGTGGGTTTAGCTGGCGGATTGCTGTCCCACTCCCAATAGGTTTAGTTGCGACCGTTTGCCTCTGAATGTATGGTAAGCGGTCTTCTCATGCTATGAGCTATAGCTTCAGTTGATATCTGTCTCATGATATCAAGGGAACGTTGAACGGAAATCGAATGTAACATGAACAGAGAAAATGGTACCGAGTTACCTCATTGAAAAATAGCGCTCAAGCGCTCACCTTTTTCCTTAAAGGGACCCTCCCACCTTAACATTAGATTTGAGTTGAGATAGCCAAAATGGGGTCCCTGGCTCACAATTACCGGTTTCGGCGCTCACAACATCGAGAAATGCCTTAAATCGGAAATATTGAATTTCAAAATTGCAGCATTTTGATTCAGAGGGGCTAATGCTTAGGAATACCCCTCTGAATGTGTGACGTCAGCGCAAATATCTAACGATTTTTAAATGTTTGACTAAAACGTTTTGTAGCACGCGGTGGTATATGCTATTTGCGCGCAACATCTGCCGCAAACGCCGCACTTCTAAAATGAAGTCGCTAGAAACAGCGGAGATCCCAAAAAAGTAAACAAAAGTAAAAGTCTAATATCTTGAAAACCGGTGAATATTTTTAGGTGAAATTTGGTAGCTATTCGTTTTCGCTCTTTCTGAACCGAGCGACATCACTTTCATGCCAATTCATAAACTTTTTTGAAGGTGGGAGGGTCCCTTTAAGTTTAGTTCCGTTCTTCAACATCTGATATGCCATCGGCCTATGGTAAAAAAATTTCCCGTTGGAACTTATTCTAATACAGCGATACAAAAATCGTTACAGCGTCCATTTGCGGATCCAGTGAGGGGAAATTGATAGTTATTACTTTCCCGCAACGCCCCGATTCGGCAAAAATATGTTTTCTTATAATAAAACTTTTTTTTTTGCTTTCAAATGCTCAGCAGTAGGTACCTACGTAGGGAATAAAAATCCGAGGAGTTTTTGGATTTTGGGGGCTTTTTTTGGGGGGGGGGGGTAGGTATATACCAGCAGCCTCGAAACCACCTTTCTGATCCACCATGATATCATCTCGGTCTGGGATCTTGCCCCCCCACGCCAAAATCGAATCCGCCGCCACTGATAAGCTTCCTTTGTCATGCATGTGTAATTTTGAGTTTACATGCATGATGTTGGCATATTTCCCTTGGCTTCATGAAATTACTTTGCAAGCTTTTGTTATGGACATTGGTGCAACCTAAATTATATGATGCTT